GGTTAAATCACACTTTGTGCCAAGTGACTCCCCTCCTCACCACCATCAAGGTGGAAACAACCCGACTGAAACCTTTCGCTGTGCCACCGCAAAAGGGGAAGTCCCTCTATAGGCGTTAAATACGACGGGAGTGTCAAACCATAGATACGTACAACCGTCCATCCATAAGTGCGGAAGCTCATCTCTAACGGTACTTTGGCATACTTCCCCTCGGGGGGGGGGCACTCAACGTGAGGGGTGACTCAACCCTGCAACCATTTCTAAACAAAGGTAAAAAAACAGGCCGTGTCGCCATTTTGGCGCAGTCCTCCAATTGAGACGCTCCGTGAGTGCGTCATAGTTTGATTGAACTCAGTTTTACGAAGCGATTGGGTACATATAACAACACTATATATACAGAACACGTTGCGCTAAAGGGGCATGAAAAAGGGCATGCATGTATTTTTATTTTTTTTTTTTCGCCTCGTGGTGGTCTCCTCATTGGTCATTTGAAAAGTGCTTTACTTTGGGTTGGCAGGAAAAACAGTAATCGGTTGGAATGCTTTCCTGGATATTTTTTTTTTTTTTTTTTTTTCCACAAGGCGCGCAGCAGCAAAGAGGAAATCAACCTCCATCAAGCTACTTCTTCGCCCCGTGCCTGTCACATCTACTGGAAAGGGCAGAAAAGAGGAGGCCGCCCCCGTTCCTATTTGTATGTTTAATTTTACTTTTCCACGCATGACAAGTACAGCACGGGAGAAGTGGTAATTTTTTTTTTTTTTTTTTTTGCGTCTGTAAATTTTTCCCCCCAAAAGAGGAGCACCCCCTCTAACCACGGCAAACTCGTAAATACAACTCGCACGAACAAGGCATCATGTGCCCAATGGGAACGGTCACTTTGCAGAGGGCAAAAAAAGATCCAGTGTTGTGCCGATGAGGAAGCAACTTGATCGTGCCTATTACTTATGTAGAAGAGCTCCCCTTTGCGGCGGAGCGACAGTCTCGACGATGTGATCGTTGCCACTGTTGCCTCGGATGCCACACTTACCACCGCTAACGCCGCTAACCACGCTAACCACGCTAACCGCGCCGCTACCCCCCCCGAAGGATGAGTTCCTTCGCGAACAATGCCGGGAGCTACCGAAACAGGTCGCTGGGGGCGTCGGCCAAATGCCAAAACATAAGCTACAAGGTGAGCTCGGTGGAGAACGGGCCCTCCATCTTCTGCACCCTGTGCGCCCTACCGTACAATGCCAAAATTAGACTGAACCCCTGCTTCCATGTGCTCTGTAGCAAGTGTTACGAGCTGTCTGCACAACAGCAAAGCTGTCCGCTGTGCAATGCCGAAATAAACGACGTGGAGTTCCTTTTCATCGGTGAAAATATCTTTGTCTGTCCTTATGATGACTGCAAAAAGGGCTTCCTCAATTTGAAGTGTTTCCATTACCACATTCATTTCAAGCACCAATTTTTAAAGTCAACCGGACGCTACACCGAGGATGGCAGCGGTAGCATCTCCGATCATCAGAAAACAAGAGGAGATGTCTTTCCCCCTGCAAGCAGTGATCCTTTTTCTACCTCCTTTTTTGCAAACAGCGATGGGGACGATCAGGAATATAATCATGACGCTGGAAAGAATGATCCAAGTGGAAACTCGTCCATTATCAGCATGAGTCGTGCCATCGGTGTGAATGCCTCACGTGGGGGAGCCCTTCCCCCTCTGGCAATGGAAACTCCCTTCAACGTGTACAACAACGTTCACAGTAACCCAATTAACAATTTCGCAGCGGACAGCAGAAAGTTAAGTTTACAAAATATGGTCCTTGGTGGAGGTGCCATCAGCACGAGCGAGAAGAATACTTCTTCGGGGAGCTTTTCCACCTCCATGCCATTCACAGGCAAGTGGGATTATAGCAATGTCCCTTTCAAATCAGATTTTAATGCATTTAATGTGCCTCCTAGCAGTGATCCTCCCCCCAGCAACAACCCCCTTGGGCCCAGTGGGAAGGAGAACCCAGAGGATGACTACGACAATTTGGAGGATCTCATGTGATTTGGAGTTGCACAAAGAGGGACACAAAAACCCTTTTGGGGTCACCTCGCAAAGATGTACCTGCGCTTGTCTTGACAGAACATCGGGACGGACGGGATGATGATGCCTTGTGGGCGGTGGTAGTCTGCGGGGGAAAGGAGGCGGGAATGATTTAGGCGGATGAGAAGGCTGTCCAGTGAGATCGACGGCCAAGCGAGCCGCACCTGCACGGGGTTAGCGAGGTTAGTGGCGTTATGAAGCCTCTGCTTGGAGACGGTTCTCCCTCCGGTGTGTTGTCTTTTTTGTGTTCTCCTTTGTGTGTTCCCTCTTGTGTG